AGACAAAAATCAAACATAATTATAAAAATTTTTATTAATAGTGTATTTCTATTTTTTATCTAAATTTTTTTTTGCTGTGCAGATCATATGACAAATGATCTACCCTTAAGTAATTATTACATTATTAATTAATATGTAAGTAATCATTTGATAAAGATATGACATTACAGTTAATATTAGATAAATCGTAGCGATAAGTTTTATGATGTAATTATTTGATTATTTTGAATATTAATTGTAGTGATGGGTTTTATGATATATTTATTTGATTATTTTGAATATTAGATAAATCGTAGCAATAGGTTTTATGATATATTTATTTGATTATTTCAAATATTAGAGAAATCTTAGCGATAAGTTTTATGATGTATTTATTTGATAATTTTAAACATGGTCTGTTTTTATATAAAATAAGTAAAAAAAATGAAAAAAATATTAATTATTTTGATTTTCTTTTTATAATGTCAAATTGGTCTTTACCAAGCCCAGAAATTCAACATTTGCTTCATACACTTCTAGCTAAAAATGTTGGTCATCTGATCGGCCCTCTTTGGCAAGCCTTTTTTCCAGTTCCAACTAACAAAAAACTCAAAACAAGTTGCATTTTTTGCAGACTTGATAAACCCATATCAGGCACAGCAGCTGTAATGAGTTCATATATTAAAAAATATTCAAAAATTTCTTTTGAAGTTCAAAAATATCTTCTTGATGCTTACTATATTCAGCAACAAAAAATAGCAATGAGTCTGACTATTATACAAGATCAACAATTAAGCATTTTAGATGAATCAATTACACCTTCTATGTCAGCTTTAAATTATTCAATTGTTTCAAACAATAATTATTTTACATGCTTACCAATTGATGCATATGAATTTAATAAATTATTATTGGAGAGTATAATAGAAGGTGGCACACCTCTTTCATTCATGGATTCAAAAAAATTTAAACAATTTGTTTACTCAATTAATACAAATTATCATGTCCTAGCAAGAAGACAACTTTTAAAAAATGTTCTTAATAATGTTTACAAAAAGGTTCAAATGACAATTAAGCAATTTATTTGCAAATCTGATTAGATTTCTATTGCAACCAATGGATGAACAAATCTTTACCAAAATCATATTATAAACTTTATAGCAATTGGTAAAAATCGAAGAGTTGAACTTGTTAAAATCAAAGATACTTTTAGAGAAAGTTAAACCTCAATTGTTATTTTTTAAGATTTAGAAGATACTTTAACATGAATTGGTATTAAAAAAATTAATGCAATTATTACTGATGGAGCTGCCAATTATATTCACATAAAAGCTATGCTTACTCAAAAGTATCCAAAGATTTGGCTTTGCCATGTACTGCACACGAATCAAATCTATTAATTGGAGATATGTTAAAGTATGAATATATGAAATCAACTATAGATATAACTATAAAAGTTATCACATATTTTCGAAAAAGCACTCAGGCAATTTAGTATATCCGAGCTCGTACAAATAATAGTACATTTTGGTTTTCACTTCCTACACTTATACGATAGAATTCTTTTTTTGTATCATTTCAGCAAATACAAAATAAAAGACAATATTTGAAAGATATAGCATATGAAATGGAATCATGATTAGACAAACATATTATATCTATTCTTATCATTTAAGAATTATAGTTCATATATTAGAAACTTATTCACTTATTCCTATTATTTTGGAATCTCGACAAGCAACATTTGCTGATACAGTTTATTTATAAGCTCGAATGCAAATAATAGTTAATAAAATTGATAATACAAATTTTAAACAATATGTTACAAACCAAATTCAATATCAGTGGGACAGAATATATAATTCACTTTTTCTTGTTTGTTGGTTTCTTCATTCTAAATATACAATTGCAAAAGCTGTTCATCCTGAGCTTTCAACTATAATTAAAAAAGAGGCTAGTTATTTATTTGAACATCTTTTTCCAAATAAGGATGTTAGAAGATTTCGAATGCAATTAATTGATCGGAGTAGGATGATTACTTAATTAAAGACCCAGTATATTTTTGGAACAATTTTCAAAATGAAGTGCCTGAATTAGCACAATTTGCTTCTCGAATTATGAGTATCTCACCAACATCAGCTAATAGTGAACATTTTTGGTCAGTTATTGCAAATATTCATACACTACACCGGAATAGATTAACTAATGATAATGCATTTAAATTAACTTGTATTCGGTGGCATTTAACTCAAAAAGAAACTTATTCTTTTAAAGATAAAGAGATTAATAATATTCAACAAATTGTTTAAGATACTATTATAATTGATTCTAACGAAACAAATACTAAAGAAAATTCATCTATTAATATTTTAGCTATTGATGATGAGATATATAATTCTAATGAAGATGAATTATCTCTGTCTATTGAACAAGCTAAAAACCATGAAGATATAATGAAAACAATCAAAAATATTGATATGTTTAACACTAATAATCAAGCTACATATAATGAAGCTATTAGCAAACATAGTCAAGTTACAAATAATTGTGAACAATCATTAGAAAGTTAGTTACTTTTTGAAAAATTAAATAACATTTCATTTTAGTTTTCTATATATATATTGCATATGCAAAAATTAGCTATATACAATTCTATAAACATTCATTTTGTTATTTTACTTAACACTTATAAATACTTGTGTTGTTAAAATTAATAAATAAAAAAATTGCCAATAAAAATAAATTTATTAAAAAGCATTACTTATTATTATTACTTAATGCAAAAAAACTGAAGTAATATTAAGTAATATTAAGTAAGAATACATAATAATTTTGCCCATCTCTAATATACAATCAAACCTCTTTATAAACTGTACTTCACAATAAGGGTAGAGACATTTATCAGGTGATTTCCACCTCTTAAGAGGGCTACCCCCCTCCCCCTACCTGATACTAAACTAGCCAATCAAATTTAAGCAAATAATATATTGTATATAGTTTAATTCTTATACTATATATATTATATTATAAATTTAGGGTTATATTACCTCCAGCTATGAGTTTCTCCACAACTACCAATCCAAATTGAATGAAATTTTTACTTAAGATAGAAGTGATACTTGGCTACAACATATTAAAATTTCAACCAATTTTAATTAGTAATTCTTGAAAAATTGCTTAAAAACTATAAGTAATTAAATTACTTATAGTTTTTAAGCAATTTCTGAAGAACTATTAATCCTAATTGGCTGAAATTTTATTATGTTGTAGCCCAATATCACTTCTATCTCAAATAAAAATTTCATCTAATTTGGATTGGTAGTTGTGGAGAAACTCACAGCCGGAGGTAATATAAATCTCAATTTATAATACAATATATACTGTATATACAGTATTATATTATAAATTGAGATTTATATTACCTCCAGCTGTAATTTTCTCTACAACTACCAATCCAAATTAGATGAAATTTTTACCGGAGATATAAGTAACATTGGGCTACAATATATTAAAATTTCAGCCAATTTGGATCAGTAGTTCTTAAAAAATTGCTTAAACACTATAATTAATTTTTTAATATAATTGCTTATTATTTCTAAGTAATTTCTCAAGAATTACTAATTCAAATTGGCTGAAATTTTAATATGTTGTAGCCAAGTATCACTTCTATCTTCATTAAAAATTTCATCCAATTTGGATTGGTAGTTGTAGAGAAACTCATAGCTGGAGGTAATATAAATCTCAATTTATAATACAATATATACTATATACATCTTATATTATTAATTGAGATTTATATTACCTCCGGCTGTGAGTTTCTTCACAACTACCAATCCAAATTGGATGAAATTTTTCTGAAGATAGAAGTGATACTTAGCTACAACATATTAAAATTTCAGCCAATTTGAATTAGTAATTCTTGAAAAATTACTTAGAAATAATAAGCAATTATATTAAAAAATTACTTATAGTTTTTAAGTAATTTCTTAAGAATTACTGATCCAAATTCGCTAAAATTTTAACATATTGTAGCCCAATATCACTTATATCTCTGGTAAAAATTTCATCTAATTTGGATTGGTAGTTGTGGAGAAAATTACAGCCAGAGGTAATATAAATCTCAATTTATAATATAACATATACAGTATATATTGTATTATAAATTGAGATTTATATTACCTCTGGCTGTGAGTTTCCCCACAACTACCAATCCAAATTAGATGAAACTTTTATTGGAGATAGAAGTGATATTGGGCTACAACATAATAAAGTTTCAGCCAATTTGGATTAGTAGTTCTTGAGAAATTTCTTAAAAATAATAAGTAATTATATTAAAAAAATTACTTATAGTTTTTAAATAATTTCTTAAGAACTACTAATTCAAATTGGCTGAAATTTTAATATGTTGTAGCCTAATATCACTTCAATCTCCTGTAAAAATTTCATCTAATTTGAATTGGTAGTTGTGAAGAAAATCATAGCCGGAGGTTAATAAAAAATATAATTTTTATATTTTAATTATTATTATTAAAAATTTTATATAATAAAATTGGGTAATTTTGATTGGCTAATAGTACTATATCATATAGCACCTGAAAACCCCTTTGACCCCTCCCCCTAAAAAATCAGGTGATAAATGTCTCTACCCTTATTTCACATGACATAGCATATATCCAGATTAGGGTTAGGGTAGGAGGTATAGGAGACAAAGACATGCCCTCTTGTGCATGCCCCTGGGCATGTACAAGGGCATGCCTTTAAGCTAGAAGGCATGCTCTTTCAAAAAACATTAACCAAGATTTTCTTGCACCTAAAATTATAATATACATATAAACAATTGACAAATCAAATAATTTGCCCTAATTTGAATTTATCCCTAGTATAAAATCTATTATTTCTATTTTTTAGCATAGTATAAATCTGTTATCCATAACATAATAATATATAATTACTAATTTAGTTTAGAGTGTTAATTGACTACATCTAATTCTAATGCAAATAAAAGTCGATAGTAATTATAACGAATTAATATTAGCTCATAATAAAAAGAGTTATTGATAATTATAGCCAAGTTTGCATTTCCGATTTAGGTTTCAGTAATTAATTTAAACTTATTGCTTTACTTCCAAATTAGTAAATGCATATAGATTTGTATAAGAAATTCACTACATAGTAATATCAAATAAGCATATGCTGTATCTATATAGTTATTTATTTGCTATTACATTTGTCAATATCATATGCCAAAGTGATAAAACAAAGTTTTAGGCATATAAAGCAAACTTTTATAATAAAATCAACAGAAAGTATATAATTAAGGGCAAATATTTAATGAAATTTGCCATTAAATAAAAGTAGATATACAAAATAATATATATTACTTAATATCATGTCAAATTAAAATAATTTTAATAACCTAATGAAACGTATATAATTAAGAGCAAATATTTAATGAAATTTGCCATTAAATAAAAGTAGATACACAAGATAATATATATTACTTAATATTATATCAGATTAAAATAATTTTAATAACCTAACGAAACGTATATAATTAAAGGCAAATATTTAATAAAATTTGTTATTAAATAAAAGTGGATATACCAATATAATATATATTACTTGTGTCAAGTTAATATCATGTTAGATTAAAATAATTTTAATAACCTAACAAAACTCTTTAAATTTTGGTTTGACACATTTTAACTTGATATACAAAATATACATTACATTTGCCAGTAGAGATTCACATGTAGCAAATGTGTATAAAACACTCTAAATTTTGCTTTAAATAAAGCCAGAAAACCTCCTAATTTATTATAAAACAGTTTCATAGAATTGTAGCATAAAAATACTTAATACTCATATAATTTCGTATTGTCAAACTTATTGTTTACCCAAATTCAATAGTAATATTTGTTATACAAAAAAAAAAAATTATTAGCAAATTTGTTAATTCTTCAATTATGTTTATTTCTACTAGCTTTGCTTTACTACTCCTGACACAAAGCCAATATTGGTATGGCTTTTATCGCTCTAAAATTAAAGAAGCAGAAAATAGATATACTGCAAAATATAAAGACTACTTGCATGAATTAAA